ATTAGCGGAGAGGGCGTTCGTCAGCGTCAGGAGATGTTGGGAAGAAGTCTGGTAATCAGATTCATTCCTCGCAATTCGGTAACCCTTCCTACCGACTTTATCTCGCGATTTTGGGTTTGGATGAAAAGGTATTGGGCGGTCAATGACAACTTCTCGCTGGAAGATCGGGGTAATGGCAACTGGTTGTTGATCTGTCCAAGTATGCAAGAAGCCACTCGCATTAGCAAGTTCAATCACTCTTCTTTCGAGAATTTCGTGGTGGACATTGTCTCTTGGAAGGAGTCAGATATTCATGAACAACAAGATGATATATGGGTCTTAATCTATAACATTCCTCTTCACCTAAAAAGCATTGACCTTATCAAGGAAATCGGCAAGTTCTGTGGTACATTGGTTGACATCGACTGGAATTCTTGGTGTCTTCCTTTCATTCGAATCAGGATCAGGTTCTCTAATCTCATCCCCAGGGAGATTCCAGTGGTGTTCGAAGGTCACCGATATTTGGTCGATGTGGTTGCGCCGCCGATGAGGTCTGGTGTCTTTTCCAATGCCGGCGATGTTGCAAGTGGGAGGTGGAACCCTAAGCGTCCCGACTCGGGCTTCTCGTCCTCACCCTCTATCTCTGCATGCGTGCGCAGTCTTTCCACCCAATCACCGGAGTCGCATGATTCACGTGCTAGGGGTCTTAATGAGAGCAGGCTCGGACCTTCCCGTCAGCGCAAGTCATTCTCAAAGCAGATTTTGGGTAAGAAAGGAAGGGCCCATTTGGTTTAAGCCCAAACCTCAGCCAGCTCCGCTCATAGTTGCACGATCCACTCAGCCTTTAGCCAGGATATCTCTTGGGCTGGCCCATTGCAGTCGCATAATTATCTCGGTTGGGTCGCTTGTTGTATCTTTTGGCCCGACCACGGCCTTTCCTTTCAGTCTTCCACCACATTTTTCCCCCTTCCGCTTTGTCCAGTCCATCTCCTTGTCCCCAAACTTTTCACCTTTCGTTGACTTCCTTCCCCCGCACCTCAAATACTCTTTCATTTCTGAACCCCTCCTCCTCTCTCCTCCCCCTCCGATCAGAGACGTTGAACCCTCTTCTCCCCCTTCTTCTCTCCAAACTCCTCCCTTGGCTTCGGAGGATTCAGTTCTCCCACTGTCTTTCGTCCCCAACTCTTTGGATGATGTTATTCCGACCTCTCCACTTCCTTCTTCCTCTCCTGCGAGATCCATCATTAATCTTCCTTCTTGCTCATCATCGGCTGCCGATTTGCCTTCACCATCCTGCTTTGTGGAAGAGAGGGAGAGGGGTTGGGAACTTGAGCATTACCCCTTTGACCGCGCCTCTCTGATCGAATCGAGCTTTGCTTTGGGAAAACTTTTCGAGCTTGAGAATGAAGACGGGGCTGACGAGACTAATAGGATCATTGCCTTGAAAGCCCAGCAGATGCACGATAGGAAACCCAAGGATTCGAGGTCCAAATTAGAGACGGAAATTCGCAGGATTGGATCGTCGATTCCCCCTATCGACGGTCCAAGGAGACGCAAAAGGAAGGCAGTAGGGATCGTTGAACTTTAATCTTATGGGTACTTCGATTCACGTCTGGAATGTTCGTGGTCTTGGTGATCCTGATAAAAGAATTCGAATTCAACGCATTATAAGGCGAAAAAATCCCAACATTGTGGGTCTTGTGGAAACTAAATGGGAGCAGTGTAGTGAAAGTACGGTGAGAACTTTTAACGGTAGAAGAAATCTTGGGTGTATATTGAAGCCTGCTGAAGGAAGTTCTGGTGGTATTCTTATTTATTGGGATGACTCTTTGTTTCATCTTCGATCTGAGATAGTTGGAAATTTCTTCCTTGGAGGTGAGTTCCAGGAGGTGGCTTCCTCTAAGATTTGGCATTTGGTTATTGTTTACGGCCCTCATTAGAGGTTCGATAAACTTGCCTTCCTGGCAGAGCTTCAATCTTTCTGCAGGGAGGTGAGACATCCTTTCTGTATCGCTGGTGACTTCAACATTGTAAGGAGCCATGATGATTATGTGGGTTCCTGTCGCAGCAGTGAGTTGATGGCTGAATTCAATGGTTTTATTGACGGTAATGCGCTTATTGATCTCCCCCTGGGAGGCAGCAGATACACAAGAAGTGGGGGTCTCGGCTCGGGCTCTTTATCTCGTATCGATCGTCTCTTGATATCAGAAAGTTTTGATTCCTTTTATCCGGATTGCTCGCTATTGGCCTTGGAAAGAATTGATTCGGATCATTATCCCTTGCTATTAAAATGGGGTGATGTTGGTCGGATCAAGAGACCATGGAGGTTTGAAGTTATGTGGCTTGAGGACGATGGCTTCTTTAGGGAGCTCCCGACTTGGCTTGAGGGTCCCATTCAGGGTTGTGGTTCTATCTTCCGTTGGTCTAAAAGGCTTCAGGATCTTAAAGCTAAGTTGAAAGTCTGGAATAAGGAAGTGTTTGGAAACATTAATGATCTTCTTCACAAAATTAAGGAGATTGACGCTAGGGATGAGGTGGGTTCCATCTCTTCGGATGATCTGGAGCAGAGATCCCTGCACCATTCTGATCTGGAAAAGCTTCTTACCTTTCAAGAAATTAGTTGGAGGCAGAAATCTCGAGAGCTTTGACTGCAGGTCGGTGAACGCAATTCTGGTTATTTCCATCGGGCAGCTAGCTATCGAAGAAAACTTAATTCCATCAGCCTCATTAAGATTAACGGTTGCCTTGTCGAAGGTCGAGATGAGCTCACTCAGGCGGTGGTCGAGCATTACCAAGGTCTATATATTGAGCAGCTCCCGTCCCGCCCCTTCCCTCTTAATTATATGTCCTCTGTCTTATCCTCAAGTGATGCGGATTGTCTTAATATTCCTTTCTCGGAGCTGGAGATCATTGATGCTCTCAAAGATTGTGACGGTGGGAAGGCTCCGGGTCCTGATGGTTTCCCGTTCGATTTCTATAAAAGGTGTTGGGACTTGATTAAGGCTGACGTTTTGAACGCTTTCACAGAGTTTCATTCCTCAGGATACCTCCCAAAGTGTGTGGCGCATTCCTTTATCTGTTTGACCCCTAAAAAAGACGTCGTGGAAGAGATTGGTGATCTTCGTTCCATCAGCCTTCTCGGTAGCATAAATAAGCTGTTCAACAAAGTTCTGTCTCGAAGATTAAGTGTTGTCCTGCCTAAACTGGTTTCTCATCACCAACACGCGTCCGTCAAGGGTAGACAGATTTCTGAGGCCGGTTTAATCGCTAACGAACTTGTGGGCAGCCGTGTCTCGAGCAGAAAACCAGGTCTATTTTTTAAACTTGATATTGAAAAAGCTTTTGATAATGTTAATTGGGGTGCTTATTCAATGTGCTCAAGAAGCCGGGATTTTCATCGAAATGGCTATGTTGGATTCGAGGCGTTATGTGCTCGCCTATGTATTCCATTCTCATTAATGGCGAGGCTAAAGGTTTTTTCCCCGCTCATAAAGGTCTTAGGCAAGGAGACCCACTTTCTTCAGGTCTGTTTGTTCTAATCATGGATATTCTTTCTTTCATGATTAACAAACTCAGGCTGCGGGTTTGATCAAGGGCTTCTGTATTGATGAAGAGTGCGGGCTTGGGGAAGTGACTCATCTCCTTTTTGCCGATGATGCACTTATATTCTGCGATGCCTCCCATGACCAGGTGTTATATATTTTGGCTACTCTAGTCTGCTTCCAGGCGGTCACAGGTCTCAAAATCAATTTGGACAAATCCATTATGTTTACTGTGGGTGATGTCTCTGAGCCGAGTTTCTTTGCTGATATATTTGGATGCAAGTGGAGTCGTGAGCCATCAAAATACCTGGGCTTTCCCCTTGGAGCCAAACCAAACGCTGCCGAGATTTGGGACGCTATCGAAACTAAATATCAGAAGCATCTTCATGGGTGGAAAGGCAGACATCTCTCGTATGGTGCGAGACTGGTTCTTATTAATTCTATCTTTTCCAGCCAGCCTGTCCATTTCTTTTCTCTTCTCAAAGCTCCCAGGAATGTGATCAACAGACTTGAGAAATTACAAAGAGGCTTTCTGTGGAATGGCTCAGGGGATGGTGGCAAAGCTCCTCTGATCAAGTGGGAGGTTTGTAAAACCTCTAAGGATAATGGGGGCCTCGGCATCATCGATCTTGCGAGTTTCAATAGTGCCCTGTTGTCCAAATGGCATTGGAGGTTTTCTGTTGATAGAGCAGGATGGTGGCGCAATTTAATCTCAATAAAGTACCCGAATTCAACTTCTTCCTGGCAGCCTGGGCGTCCTCAGGGAAGGCTTTCAAGTTCGGTATGGGCTAATATTATGAAAGAATTTGGTGTGTTCTGGAATCATGCTTGCATTGACCCCGGGAGTGGGAATGATGTTTCCTTTTGGCACGACTTTTGGAATCCCAAAATTGCACTCGCCTCGGCTTTCCCCCGGGTAGCTGCTGCTGAAACCAACCCGGATGCTCGGATCTCGGACATATTCCATGGTACAGGTGAGGGGGTGAGTGGATTTTTGAGCTTAATGTTTCTTTGAGGGGGGGTGCAGAGAGAGAAAGGCTTGATCTCCTTAATTTTCTTTCTTCGATTGCTTCTAGTCGAGTGACCCATGGTCCTTGCAGACTTGTGTGGCTTCCAAAGCCGGATTCTTCTTTTTCTGTTTCTTCATTATACAGGTCTCTGGCGGGCGATCGTTTTCCTGGTCTGCAGAATTACCCTGCTGCTTCTGTTTGGAAATCGGTGATCCCGACAAAAGTGACTGTCTCTTATAAGAAGCTCCCGACTCTGGATAACATCAAGAAGAAAGGTGTAGCCCTCGCTAATAGATGCGTGCTGTGCAGGAACGACGAAGAATCTGTGAATCACCTTTTCGTGAACTGCGCTTTTGCTCGAGAAGCCTGGAATGCTGTTCATAGAGCTTGCAACTCCGTGATCCCGCCATCTGGTGATATTTTCAGTATCATCCAGAATTGGCCTGTCAATGATCCCATCAACATTGACTCATGGGTTGTATCTTGCGTTCTCCATTCTATTTGCTGGCAAATCTGGTTGGAATGCAACCAAAGAGTGTTTAACAATATCGACGGTTCTGCAGTGGGGGTTGCTCGCAAGGCATGTAAATCTGCCCGGGATTGGATTGTTGCTCACAACAAGGTTGATAAATCTTGCGGCAGACAGTGGCTCGGCATTCAGTTTCGGAGTATCTGACTCTATCAAGGCTTGCTTGGATCTTTGTTGCTGGTTGTCGTTTCTCCTTTTAGCCGTTTTCCTTGCTTCAGACTTTCTGCCGGAGTCTCCTGTCCTTTCGGCGAGTTGAGTTGCGAGCTTGCTGTCTTCGTGGGTTTCAGGGGCTTCTTGGTTTGCCCAGCCTAATTTTTGTTTCCTTTTTCCTTTAGTCTTCCGTTGTTTTCGCTCGTTTTCGCTTGTGTTTTTGTGTGGATAGCACTGCTTGTGCTCCTGCATCTTTTTTCTATTTTTTTCCGCCTTTCAGTCGCTTCTTTGCGTACTGAGCTTGTACTCTTCTTTTCTCATTTCTTCTTAATGCAATTATCACCATTATTAAAAAAAAGATAAGATGTTGCTGACATACTACTGCTACGTGATTAGAAGGAACGACGTCTGGAAAATGTTTGTCGTGAATTGTGGTATTCGCTCACATTGTTAAGATCCACTCAGTTGATGTATAAGGTACAGTGTTTCGGTTACTAATAAATAATAATAAAACATATAAATTGATATGCCATAGTGTCACTCTATCTTACGTATCCACTCTTAGATGATGATAATGTTGAGCACTAAAACACTTACATTGAGTGCTAAAATAGTATGTTCTTGATTATTTTGTCGGTTAGCTAGATAAATGTTAAACAAATGATTCAATAAGTTTATATCAACATAACCATTCGATAACCTAACCAGCAGAAGACCTCCTGCATGTATGTGTTTTTTTTTCTTTCTGTTGTGCATTTTTGTAGATTTTTCCTGCACATGTATGTGTTCTTTTTTAAGTTGTTATTTTGAATAAAAATAATTTGACATATATATTAGTCCATAATAAAATCAATCCAATACAAGTACATAATACGACTATTCTATACCACCGAATTTCATTAAAGAAGCAGACAAGAAAAAGAGACCCAACAACAAATATTAAACTCATAAACCCCACAAAATTAGATGAAAGTTTAAATTTTACTAATTGTTGTCGAGCTACCGTTGGCAAGACCAACTTTCTAATGTTCTACTTCTAAATCCCTTCCTTAAAATTATTCTCATTTAACCTAAATCACTATTACAAATAGGGTGGGCAAAGTATTTGTAGGCTTTCAAGCATCCCACTATTTTTTTATCTACGTATGCGGCTCATCTAGACCAATTATTTTCCGCACAAACTACAAAATGACGGTAATCGATTAGTCGGTTAAACGTTTACCATCGGTTAGTAATTAGCTAATTTAACTATGAGGAACCGACTCTTTACTGTTTACTTGAAAATTTCACATTTCTAATTTCAGTGAAGTCTCTTGTCACGTTAGGTGACAAAACACAAATTTTGGGTTATTCACGCCATATTTGCGTTATTCACGCCATATTTGCGTTATTCACGCCATATTTGCGTTATTCACGCCATATTTGTGCCATTCACGTCATATTTGCGTTATTCACGTAAGAGTGTTGATTAATCACGCAACCAATACTGTTAGGTCACGCCACATGATGTTTATTCACACATATTGTTAATTATTCAAGCCGTTGTAAAATAAAATTTTAAACTTTGAAATATATCAAAATGGATGTCATTGTGTAGATTATGATCAATGCAACATAATTTTATAGATTAATTGATAATCCAAATTTAACTCCATAAAATATAGCCAATACAAATTATTAGGGGGGAAAGACTGAAATTCATTTACATGAAAAAACTTACACTTTTATGCAAATCACCATAATATTACGTGAATGAGTACAAAACAACATAAATGCGTTGGTCTTTAGGTGTTTTGTCACCTAACATGACAAGTAGGGATGACAATGGGTCGGGTTTTGCCAAACCCAAACCCATGGGTTTATTCGTGAAAAAAAATCGGGGTAAAACCCACTGGGTTTGAAAAACTTAAACCCAACCCGCTCGGTATCCGCAGGTTGATGGGTACCCATGGGTTTTTGTCGTAAAAAATTTACAATAATAAGTTCCTGTCAAAATAAAAGTCAAATATCAATCTCTCAATACAAATTATCTATATATAAAACACCATTCTAGAAAATTCAAGCAAATCACAAATTAACCATACAAATTGTTTAACACCAATCTAGAAAACTCAAGAAAATTGAAGCAAATCACAAATTATCCATAAACAACATGATTAATCGAAAGCTTCTTCCTCCTCCTTGTCAATTGAGCTTGTTCACTCTCCACTCGATAATATCAACTTTATTCTAGATAATTAGAAAGAAAAAAATTAGACATGTCTCCACAAACATAAAGAAGATTAGTTGTTTAGAATATTAAATATACCAAAAAAATTAATTATACGGGTATGGCCGGGTACCCATGAGGCGGGTTTATCTAAACCCAAACCCAAACCAACCCGGTAAATAGTGAACGAGTTTAAACCCAAACCCGACCCGAAACCCGTCAACACGAGTTTTACCCAAATTAGGTCGGGTAGAATATCCATGGGTTCAGATTTTGTTCCCAATTGCCATCCCTTATGACAAGGGATGTTTTTCTTCTAATTTTATTTTCCCCAATTTTATCGGATGCCCCCAAAAGGAGTCCCCTTTCTAATTTTCTATCTTGCGTAATTTGAATGAAGAATATGATGATTTGGACTTTGGAGTTTGGAGGGGATCAAAAGAATCTGCGTCGACGTGGAGAAAAGACAGAGATCGGCGGCAGCCGGTGGCAAGTAGGGATGGCAATGGGTCAGGTTGGGACGGATTTTGTCAAACCCAAATCCGAACCCATGGGTTTATCCGCCAAAAAAACTCGGGGTAAAACCCATTGGGTTTGAAAAACTCAAACCCAACCCAACCCGCTGGGTATCCGGGGGTTCATGGGTACCCGTGGGTTTTTGTGGTAAAAAATTTACAATAACAAGTTTCTTTCAAAATAAAAGTTTAACATCAATTTTCTCATACAAATTAATCATACAAAAAACACCAATCTAGAGCATACAAGCAAACCGCAAATGATCAATACAAATTGTTCAAAATTAAAGATAAATATCTATAAACAATAAGATTAATTGAAAGCTTCTTCCTTGTCAACTAAGTTTCTTCACTCTCCACTTCATAATATCAACTTCATTCTAAACAATTAGAAAGAACAAATTATACATGTCTCCACAAACATAAAGAATATTAGTTGTTTAAGGAAAATATATTATTTAGAATATTAAATATATCGGGAAAGTAATTATATGTGTGTGGGCGTATACCCATGGGGCGGGTTTACCTAAACCCAAACCCAACCCAACCCGATAAATAGTGTAGCGGGTTTAAAACCAAACCCGACCCAAAACCCGTCAACACGAGTTTTACCCACGTTGACCGGATTGGGTCGGGTGGGTACCCGTGGGTTCGGGTTTTGTTGCCATCACTAGTGGCGAGGGCGGCGGGGCTTTTTCGGAATATATCATTTAAACGGTCAGGTCGACGCAGACAGAGTCCATAGGATAGGAATGTAATGTTCGAACTTTTATCCGACTAACAAATCATTCATAGTCTCCCCTTGGTGCCAAAAAAATAACAAGAAAATTCAATTCTCCCCACCACACCTGGAATAAAACTCGCTCTGGGTGTGAGGAAGGTCTCTTTCCACCGATTCGCCGAGTCACCGGGCCCGAGTTTGACCAGTCCGCCGAAGACCCAAACGTCGCCATCCCTCGCCGCCGGCGGAATTCTCCTATGTTTGTATGATTCAATGATTCCTTGGTTAAGTAAGCCATTTCAGGTAGACTGCCAAAAAATGTCGTCCGGTGGTTCTCCCGGCAACCCGCTACTCCCTGTCTCGGTCTCTCCCGGCGATGAAGATAAAGAGAAGCTCATCAAAGGAGACGAGAAAGAGAAGTTCTTTCGAGGCTCCGCCATGACCAAGCGAGGCGCTTACGCAGCCATCTCTTACATGGTTTGTGCCGGTAATTTGTCAATCCAACTCGGGGTGAATTTAGCCGTCTTTTAGGTATAAAAGCTTTGATTCCCAGCTATGAATTATGTTTTCTGCTTTTGAAATTGCCGTGCTTCTTGTAATGTTCAATAAAGCGGCCCTCTTTTCTTACAGCTTTCCAAGTGCCAATGTCATAACACTCTTTCAGGTATGATTGCTATCTTCGTGATTGGGATGATTTCTATTTAATGTTGGTTTATCAGCTTGAATTCAGCAAATCCACTTGATCATGGAGAAATTATATTAATTCTACCTTGGATTGAGCTAGGTTTTGGAGTGCTTCTGAGGTGGAATTGATATATGTGATTACTTTCATGGTGCTGGTATTAATACTGATACTGTTCTTATTGTACTTGCTTTGTAGATGATATCGTCTTGCTCGTTTCTGTACCTGTTATGGAGATCGAGGATTATATCTTTCAGTGCAGCTGAATCTATGACTGTTTCTGATAACAGCAACATTACTTTCGTATCGTTTGAGACGTTGAGCACACTCTTCCTATCTCCTACTTGCTTTACATGGTAATTATCCATTATGATCTGTATGAATGAACACTTGCCCTCCCTAGTCTTAGTAATGCTTTTGTTGAACAGAATGAAAACTTGCCCTCCCCTATTCTTAGAAGTAATGCTTTTGTTGTTTTTCCCTTTTCTACCGGAAGCTAGTTACGATGGAATTGGTGCGAGGAGTTACTGTTCCCATGTACACTACTCTGAGGAGGACTACGGTAGTGTTTACAATGATAATGGAGTACTTTCTTGCTGGGCAGAGATACACATCTCCAATTGTTGGAAGGTTAGTTGAACTTATTTTCTAGTGCAGAGTGTTGTTTTATCTGCTCCATATAACTGAAACTATTTGAGGATGTTGTTCAGTGTTGGGTTGATAGTTTTTGGTGCTGTTATTGCTGGGGCACGGTACTTATCATTTGACTTCTATGGATATGTTGTTGTCTTCATGGCCAATATCACGACAGCAATATATCTTGCAACCATAAGCCGCATTGGTTTTTGCTCTTGAACTCTTCTTTTAGTTTCACATTTTTAGGTTGTCTCCAGTTTTTGAAATGTTCCTTCAGTAAGCCTAACGTGTGTGGCATTGCATGGTTTGTGACATATTCTTTCTGTCAGGAAAGTCTACTGGCCTTAATAGCTTTGGACTTATGTGGTGCAATGGGAAGTTTGACAGATTATGGTTTCCAGACTTCATCAGATAATTGATTTATACTTTTCTTTGTTCTTTTGACCCTTTACCGAACAATGATACCATGTTTTTTTTTTTTTAATAACCGGAGTTATATGTGGACCTGTTCTCCTGTTTTGGACACTTATACGCGGGGACATAGTGATGACAATGCATTTCCCTGATCTTTTTTTACCTGGTTTCTTGGTATGTTGTTGTTACTATAACAGTCTCATGCGAGTCCCTTCGGGGACATCCGATAACAGTCTCATGCCAAACTCTCTATCTGATGTGAAACGGCAGTCTAAATTGTCTTTGATTCAAATTTCAAGTATGAAGGATAAAATTATGTATTCATTAAATTAATTCAGCATGTATCTATCTTTGAGCTGATTGGCTCCTTCAGTTCTGAAGTTACAGGTGCTTAACTGCTTATTGTATTTGCTTTGCTCTGCTATCAATGCGTAAAAGTCCCGTATCATATTTGCTTTGCTTCAGAGACCTGTGCTATTAAATGTTTCATTTTTTGTTTCATGCCTTCAATTGTGCATGGTTCCAATCATCTAAACATGATCCTGGCAGAGTTGGGTACTAGAGCTTTTCTGTTATTTAATATGTAAGCGATACAAAATAATGCGTTGTTCTGTGGTTTTGACAAGCATGCTCCTTTTTTCAGGATGTGATGGTCCTTTCTTGCATACTGGCGTTCTTCTTGAATTACAGCATTTTTCTAAATACAACACTCAATTCAGCACTAACACAGACAATTTGTGGCAATCTCAAGGTTTGTAAACATGATTGCTTAACTCCCCCCTCCCGCCTTTTGTTACTTGTCCTTTTTTCCTTGTTGGTATTTCGACCTGTCTCCTGCCTGCAGTTCATTGGGTGGTAAGCAGGGGTTTTCAGGAAGATTAAGAAGCGTGCAAATTTGGATTTCTTACAAATGGAATTTGATAAACTAGTATTGGAATGTAACTACTCTGTAGTTTCGGAGTACTCTTCCGAATAGAACTTTCTAAGTTCTAACCATGCGAAAATGTATGTTGCTGACAATATTCCAGATGCACTGAGGTTGGGTTGCATTTGTTATGACGTCAAAATGTTGTCTTTCGTTAGCTATTAACAAAGTTGTTCCTGAAGAAGGTCTCTGTAGTTTGGAAACGCGCATGTTATTCTTTTGAATGTCCCTCTACTTTTGCTGCTTGGCAAAACCTGTGGATGTTGTTTGATTCTCCATTGACTTCTGCTATTCCAGGATCTGTTCACTATTGGAATTGGTTGGGCAGTTTTTGGCGGACTCCCTTTCGACATTGTAAGCTTTTAAAACTCTTTTCTCATTTTATGTGATCAGCTCTTAGAGATACGCTAATAATGTGGGCATGTTTAATTAACTGCTGTGCAGTTTAACGTTCTTGGACAATTCCTGCGTTTCTTCGGCTCTGGGTTGTATGCTTACTTCAAGCTGAAAGGGAGGTAACTAAGGCCACTACAAGGTGAACAACAATTCAGTTATTGGAAGTCGGTTAATCTACCTCTGATTCTTGAGTCACAATTCCTAGTACTCTCAGCATGACAGCTTACACAGATTGGTCGACTATATCTACTACTCGAAGGCCTGTTCTCCGGGTTCTGGCTTTTCATGTGAGTTATAGCAACTGACCTTATTCGGGCTTTACCTCTGACCGAGTCCTGACTGCAGAAAGTTCCGTTGGAGGCCGTTCATGTAATGACTGGGCATAGTAGCATATAGGACGGGTCAACATCCTTCCAAATTTTGGCTTTCTACTCGTAATGCTGATCCTCTTGTTTTCTGCTGTAGTTTCCGCTTATCTCGGAAGGTTGTTGATTCCATTCCAGTATTAGGTATTCTGTGCATTGCTGCTCAAGGCACTTATGAATGTCGACGGTTTTGAAGGGTTAGGAGGGCAAGTTGTGCAGGAGAAGGAATGGATGATTGGGTGTGTTTTGGGTGGTTGTGATGGACCACAAGAAATGAAAGCATGGGTCCAAGAGATGCCCAATAATTTGATACTAGCCTACAACGCATATTACAGTGATGAAATGTGGAAGTATCATTCCATGCAAAAGGGTGGGATGTTGTGAAACTTTCACATTCTTATTATGTAATTGGAAGAAAAGGAAGCGCAAAAGATGGAGGAGTCAAGGCGCGGTTTGCACGGACGACGTGAAGAAGTGGGTCGAGTCAATCAACCTTGAGGGCAAGGTTGGTCTCAAGGGGGAGGGGATGATAGAAACCTATTTCCCACAGGTTTCTATTATAATTACCATATCCATGCTAGAGATAATTATTAGGTTAAATAATTACTTGGTTGTTAAGTTTAGGTTTATTGTTAGGTTTTCAGCTCTTTTCCTATATAAGTGTACTCGGTTATTCTTTTAAAAATCAATCAAGAAAGTTAATACGAAATTATCCCAACCCTAGTCTATCTTTCTCCCTCAATCTCGAGTCTCTCTATCTCTCTGCAAAGCTTCGGCTGATCTTCCTTAATCCCTAAAATTCTACTCTTCCTCCCCAAATTCTCTTTTAAATCTCTAAATCTCAATCAATTCTCAAATTCCCAACCCAATCGATAGAACTCTAGAAATATGTTTCTATCAGTGAGTTGATACACGTGCATGCCATGGTAGACAACTCCAGATAGCTTCTTTGAATCGAAGGTGAATGTGATAGGCCAGATGCTTACATTGTAAGGAGATATTTAAAAATCAACACGGATACTACAAAAATAAAAGTTAGAAAAAGAAACTTATTGAAAATAAGAGTGAAAATTTAAACAAAAGAGTACAAAAACAACCACAAAAATACAAGAACAAACACTGAAACCATATAAGAACTACCCAAAAGAGTATAAGAAAAAATCAAAAAGACGACAAGAAATAACCCAAACAATACGAGAATCACAATCGAACTCCGACTAATCCACATTGAAAACTCCATGAACTCGAGAAGCCGCGAAGTATGTGGTCACCTTTGCTACCTCCCAACCTTGCTGCCACACCTTTAATTCAATATGAAAAACGACCAACAAAATGTCAATACTTTTTTTATTAAATCGATAATCACACAACAATTTTTGTCAACAAAGAATTCTATCGAACAATGTGCATACCATCGTCTCCGTTATCTCATGATCTCATCTGGGAGTCATAACAACAAACAAAGGTTTGGCTTTCTCCAAACTAATTCCAAACTTCTCTTCCATATCCAACATCTCTGGTACGATCTCATCTCCTAATTTCCAGTCAAACGAACCCAGCATCATATGCAACATCCTCGTCGCCAAAGGCAATCCAGGGCATATCCTTCTTCCAACACCAAATGGGATCAACTCAAAGTAGTTCCCTTTGGCATCCACCTCCGACCCCAAAAACCTTTATGGCACAAATGAATCAGCATCTTCCCATGTTGATGGGTCTCGACTAATAGCCCAAGCATTTACAAGAATTTGTGCATCTTTGGGCACGATAAAACCGCAGATTTCCACATCTGCTCTAGCCTTGCGGGGGATGAGAAGTGGGACCGCTGGGTGTAACCTCAAAGTCTCCTTGATGATTGATTGTAAATAGGGTAATCGATGTATATCTTATTCCCGCAAATGATTTCCTTTCCCAACTATTTGGTCAAGTTCTTTCTTGGCTTTAGCAAGTGCATCGGGATTATGTAGGAGTTCCGCCATTGCCCACACTAATGTACTTGAAGTTGTATCGGTTCCCGCTAGAAACAGATCCTGATGGATCAGAACGATGAGTATAGATGAGTAGAAAAAGTAAGAAAAATAATTTATAGCGGATAGCCACTAATGGATATACATATAGTTTGTTGTTTGAAAAATATATTAGTTTGTTGATCCAAATTGTCATCCTCTAGGAAAATAGTAGAATAATGAGACATTATGAGAGACACAATGCATTAAAAATGTATAATCATTATGGTTCAACCGGATTATTCTATTCCGCTTCTTAGAAAGAAAATGATTAATCAAAATTGTCTTTTTTGCTTGTTTCTATTTGACAGCATGTGAGGTTTTTGTTCTCTGGATTGATTACTGATATCTGGATTGATTATGATATGATGCTACTTATTTAATGAACGAATTAATGAAAATTTTCCAACCATTAGGACAAAAAAAATCGTTTAAGATCTCCCAAACACTAATTTTAAAGTTCAACTCACAAAGAACAAGTGCTTGATGCGAAGTGGATCCATGGCAGTCTCCTCCCTGCTGTTTTGATCAGCCCCAATGTCCAGAAGCATGTCGAGCATGTCGTTGGCGGAGACATAGCCCTCGGACTCCCGCTGCCGCAGCCGCTCGTCGATCACCTTTCCAAACATATCGAAAACTGTTGGGGGTGTAAATATGGCATAGCCTAGCCTAATAGTAAATATGGTCTGCAAGGCACATATGGACCCAAGCCCACAAAGCACCACAAGGCCCAACTGAAGCCCAACAAAATATCACAAGGTTTTAACTATAAATATGCTCTTATGTCTTTCAAGTAAGGGACTTTTTCTTCTCCTCTACTCATTTTGACATATCACTTATCTCTCTACAATCTCTCTCTACCTAAGATCTCCTTATTTCTCTATCATTGTACTAATGTTGATCGTCGGAGTGTAGATAATGGGGGCCATCCCCGCCCTTTCACAGACCGGGTGCCTTACTTGTTTCATGGCTGAAACAATTGGCGTGCCAGGAAGGGGGCCAGCGCCTGAGTTTGCAAGAAATTAGGAGAATGAGTCTGTCAAGGAAAGAGGGAAATATGCGTTGAGGGCCGGAGACAAATCGTGTTGGGGAAGGATCCAGGCGCCTCAAAATGGGTAGAAGAGGGTGAGATTTCGCGTCACATGGTGGAGGCGGAACCTTCACAAAGAAAGAAGAAGGCGGCCATAAAGATTGGGAAAAAGATAGTAGGCGCCCATAATTTTGGGAGGTCCGGACTGTATGCAGTTGAAATGGGCCCAAGCGCTTGGTTCAAGCAAACTTTAAAGTGCGTGTGAGCGATCAATTCTTTAGAAGGCCCAACATGCGCTCTGATTGAACCAGGCGCCTCAAGCCCAAGAAGCCCAGTACACGCTCATCATTCAATCAACCTCAAGCCCAAGAAGCACAGTGGCACTTCAAATATTAAAAATTGAAGAGGGGTGGATTGAACCAGGCACCTCACCAACACAAGTCCAAAGCCTATACCAACAAGCTAGCTAGCAAGCTTACGCCTATTAAAGAATGTTTTCTGTATACCATCTATGCGTCCAGTATATCACATTCAAAAAATTGCCAGCAAAGAGATTGGAATTGACTCTTTGCCGATAGAAGTCAAGCGCCTACACTATCATGCTACAACTCTGAGCATATCAATATCATGTGCCTAGCAAGTGTCGGGTTCAGGTTGGTTTCTACACACTAAAACCAAGCTAAGTACTCCTTTTCTTTGTGATATTTAATTTATTTTTGCATAATATTGCTTTCATCGAAATATTTTTCGTCCCCAATTATGGCGCCCTTGTGTGAATGCTCTTCGCGCTTGAAAATTGCACCTATGGTTGGAAATACTCTCCGCGCCCAAATCTAGCGCCCGTAATATTAGAAATATCTCAGAGGGAGATCTAAAGCGCCCGAAATACTTGAAAGGTCTCCAAGAGAGATGCAAAGCGCCCATAATACCTAAAGCGCCCGGAATACTTGAAAGGTCTCCAATCGAGATGCAAGGCGCCCATAATACCTAAAACGCCCGAAATACTTGAAAGGTCTCCAAGAGAGATGCAAAGCGCCCATAATACCTAAAGCGCCCGAAATATTTGAAAGGTCTCCAAGGGAGATGCAAAGCCCCCGGAATACTTGAAAGGTCTCCAATCGAGATGCAAGGCGCCCATAATACCTAAAGCGCCCGAAATACTTGAAAGGTCTCCAAGAGAGATGCAAAGCGCCCATAATACCTAAAGCGCCCGAAATATTTGAAAGGTCTCCAAGGGAGATGCAAAGCCTCCGAAATATTTGAAAGGTCTCCAAGGGAGATGCAAAGCCCCCGAAATACTTGAAAGGTCTCCAAAGGAGATGCAAAGCACTCGAAATACGTGAAAGGTCTCCAAGCGAGATGCAAAGCACCCGAAATACTTGAAAGGTCTCCAAGCGAGATGCAAGGCACCCATAATACCTAAAGCACCCGAAATACTTAAAAGGTCTCCAAGCGAGATGCAAGGCGCCCATAATACCTAAAGCACCCAAAATACTTGAAAGGTCTCCAAGAGAGATGTAAAAGCGCCCATAATACCTAAAGCGCCCGAAATACTTGAAAGGTCTCCAAGGGAGATGCAAAGCACCCGAAATACTTGAAAGGTCTCCAACCGAGATGCAAAGAGCCCATAGTACCTAAAGCGCCCGAAATACCTGAAAGGTCTCCAAGGGAGATGCAAAGCACCCGAAATACGTGAAAGGCCTCCAAGGGGTATTTAAAGCGCACGTAATATCCAAAGCACCCGAAGTACTTACAAGCGCCCATGATACTTGCAAGTTCTCTATGGGAATGCAAGGTGTTCATAGTACACAACAGGGGTTCAAGGGAGAAGCGAGGCGCTCGCAATATCTCAGAAAACTCTTAGCAAAATGTTAGGCACCCGCAACACCAAAGTCAATAAAGACGTTATAATAGAGGCGCATAAAGGAAGCACTTCGAGGTTAAGGCGCTTCCTTTCTAACCTCCACTAATACATCTCAAGGAATAAGCTAAGTGTTTTCTGTCTCTACTCGAGTTATATTCCTAGTTATTGTATGAACCAAAATTTGTTGCATTCTTTAGTATATTTGTGATCATTATTCTGTGTAATTGATATGGTAATGGGGGACATGAATTGGGGGACAAAATACCAAATGATCTTACGTAAAACTTGACAAGTCAGAGGATTTTAGTTAGTCGTCCAGTGCATCACTGGGCGCCTAACTGGGGGACAGTTGGGGATAACATGTGCATGCGCATTCGGGATTTTTTCTAAGGCAAACAAATCTTTAATAATGTGCCGAAAAATGTCATAGCCTCGTTAGGCATCATATGTGCAATAAATAGTTTTATCTCATTGCTTGAGTAATATCCTTAACCGTGTTATGAGTCGCATTATGTTACATTGTTCTTTCTCTCCATGGTTTTTGATCCGGGGTCTTAAGCTATTATGATCATGGGGGGCATGGATCAACTAGCAGAGTAAAAAGAGGCACATGCACGTCATATGCCAGATGTAGAGGCTAAACAAGTTTGACAACATGAAGACTTCTAGTTAGGCATCCAGTGTACCACTGAATACCTAACTGGGGGACAATTGTTGGGGGTGTAAATATGGCATAGCCCAGCCTAATAGTAAATATGGTCTGCAAGGCACATATGGACCCAAGCCCACAAAGCACCATAAGGCCCAACTGATGCCCAACAAAATATCACAAGGTTTTACCTATAAATATGCTCTTATGTCTTTCAAGTAAGGGACTTTTTCTTCTCCTCTACTCATTTTGACATATCACTTATCTCTCTACAATCTCTCTCTACCTAAGATCTCCTTATTTCTCTATCATTGTACTAATGTTGATCATCGGAGTGTAGATAATGGGGGCCATCCCCGCCCTTTCACAGACCGGCGGCCTTACTTGTTTCATGGCTGAAACAAAAACCTTGCCGAAATGAATCGTCATCCGCCTCTGTATCCCCTGCAAATCCCATCTGGCCAAGAGAGGGAAATAGTCTCCCAAATTGGGTTTCCCGGCCTCCTCGAGGATCAATCTCGAAACCTCCTTGAACTCCCTGGCGGTGTCCGACCTCTGGCCGTCGTCCGCCAGGTCCAACGAGAACATCGTCCTCGACACAGCGTTCAAGCTGGCCCTGAACGCCGCTCGCCCGACGTCCACGGCCTCCCCTGGCCTCTCAGAGGCATTTCGTCGAACATCTTCCATGAGCTCCTGAACTTTCTCCCTCCGCAGCTCCTCGTTGAAATCCAGCTTCTGGGTGGCGAACAAGTGCGAGTTGGAGATCTTCCGGAGGTTCCTCCACTTTGATCCCACGGGGAGCCAGGCTACGCTGAATTGGTGGTGGTCCAGGGCTCTCACGGCGAGGACGACCTGGCGGTCGGAGAGCAGCTGGTCCTGCTTCTGCAGAATCTCTTTGGCCACGGCCGGGGAAGAAGCCACGATGGTGGTCACTTGGCCCAGCTTCAGGCTCATCAGCGGGCCGTGGATCTTGGCTAGATCGGCCAAGGATCGGTGGGGTTGGCTGCCGAGATTGTGGAGGTTGCCTATTATCGGAAGCCTGGCAGGGCCCGGCGGGAGTTTGTTGGCCTTTCTTCTTGTGAGGAGATATTGGAGAACGATGAACAGACCGCAGAGCAAGCAACCCAGGAGGACCTCCATTTACTCCGGCGCGTTGGTTGTTTGCTACAGCTTCATAATCGATATATAATACAGTGTGAGAGAGTGCGAGGTGAGTGGTGAGTGAGTATTTGTTAATGTGAGTCGCCCACCAAAAGCGTTGACCATCTAATGATGATAATTTCGCGGTGAACTAACAGATATTGAATTGATTACATTACACCGTCATTTTTAGAACGAGCAACGATATTACTATTGTTCAAACTTTTCTTTTTTCGATAATCCTATTGTATTGTTCAGATTTATATATTAGCATTGCCTGACTCTCACACATATTGTATTGTGAGCTAATTAGATTGTAATATAATAATTGTCTGCCTGAGACACATGTAATTACACTTAATTAGTTAGTTTATACTCAGTGAGGCCAGCTGGTGAAGTGTCTAGTTTGGTGGAGTATATTGATCAAACTACTAATCAATGACTATTCTATGGTTATTTAATTTTGGAATGACAATGAATAAGTTGGGTCGGGTATCTCGATACCTATACTCATTTCGTGGCAGGTTTAGTATAAAATTATAAATTTGATAATCTATCATGGGTCGTCGGTCGAAATAGTTCAACCCATATGTGTAATACATTTGCTAATGGTACGGGCCTTCATTATCTTTGCTCACCCACTAGAACAATGGATCAATTAGTGGGAAAAGCATTCCCCTGCTTTCAGGTGTAGCTCCTTTTGCTTTGATTATGATAATTTGATTTCATTGCTCTATGGGTATTTAATTTTGGAATGACAATGGGTAAGTTGGATCGGGTATCTCGATACCTATACTCATTTCGTGGCAGGTTTAGTATAAAACTATAAATCGGGTAATCTATTATGGGTACTGTTGCATAAGAGAAAGGTTAACTTGACATGCAGGTTCTAATTCAGATATGACAGTGCACTTATGAAAGTTAAACATGGATTATTGTTGCATAAGAATTATGCTATTTTGCGTTGCTGTTAGTTTTTTTTGGTAACGGGCATGGCTCTCAAGTTCAACAACACGTGCCAAAGTGATTGAGGATAAAAATTATGCTATTTTGCACTACAGTTAGTTTTCCCCAACACAAGTCTCGATTTTTGGAATGACAAGGGGTGGGATAGTGTATATATAAAAAATTATTTTGTTCAAAATAATTCGGATTTTATCCATACTCATACTGTTATAGAATCGGGTTTGAATATTAAAATTATAGTGATACCCAATTGTGTTTCGGATATCCACGTCTATCCGTGGTTAATAATTTTTTCATTATAACTAATATGTAAACAATTACACATATATATTAACATTACATAAGTCATAAATTACAATAATAAATTACTATAACGAAAATCTTAGGGGTCGTTTGGAAGTTGTGATTGTTTTGTTGAGATTGTCATTATGCATGTATTGTTTACAATGCATCGTTTTTTTATTTTTTTAGCGGAAACAATACATGGATTGTTTCTATGATGTGACAGAAACTATCACTCATTTTGAGTGATTGTTATATCTCAACTTTTAGTTGTGATTGTTGAGATAGTTGAGTTGAGATTGTTTTGTCTCGGCTTTTAGCTGATGCGACATACACAATCACACATACCAAACGTTGTATTCTACAAGGCATCAAATTCGACAATACATGTATAATATCATACATGCATTCTCAACAATACATCTATTTAATAATCGCAACTTCCAAACCACCTTTAGTAAACAACAACCACGTGTGGCTACTGCGTCCAAAGTGGTTGGACTTGTTCCCTATGTTTGACAGAGGGTCTTTTATTGCAATGGGAGTGTTCATTGTCAGTGGTGTTTTTTGACAGAGGGGTTATAGAAAGAAACAGACTTTTAATTTTGGAGTGGTCCCCATTCCGGCTGTTGTGGTGTTTGCCATTTCAGTAATTTGAGTTATTGAAAGTTTGCACAGCCACATGTCGGACACCATGTACTTAGCAGAAACAAATGGAGTTATCGAGATTCGAATAGGAAACTTTTTGGTCATAGAAGGCTATGATACTATGTCAAAAATTAGTTAGTCTAATAACTTGAGTTATTGAAAGAAATTCTAGCTTGTATCATATATTAACAGGTATGCTTTCATAAGAGGTAGGCCTTTTAGTGATCATATAACATTATCCCGTAAAATGGTTAAATGACACCGTAGGATGAACATTTCCTCCAGATGTGCACTTAAGATAGTGCACTTAACTCTTAAGATAGATAGTATGGAAGCTTTGAATAGTGTTGTTAAAGCAAACCAATATGCTTTAATGTACCGCATATTTCCTCAACCATCAAATTATTGACAATCCAAATTTTAATTTATGTTATTGGCTAGTGTATGCTAATGTTGGGACATTTTGACTCCGAAATAATTTATTAGTAAAATCAATTGTAATCTACTTTTTTAAATTGTTTTTCAAAAAAGGGAAAAGCTTTTTGTTTTTTATGAACAAAAATTTTGTTAGCTTCTTCCCACTTCTTAGAATATATCATCCGGTCTATTAATCTCTCTAGCTTGTTTCCATTCAATAAGCTAGCATTCATGTAAAAATGAAAACTTTATGATTTTACATTTAAAAGCCTTTTTCATTTCTTTAGAAACTTAGAGTGAAATTTTTAAAAAAGTTTACTTAAAATTTAGGCAAAATGCACTTGTATAGCCAAAACTTTCGCGTTTGTGCCAATAATAGCCATATTTGGAGAAATACCACTTATAGCCACTTCCGTCCTATTCTTTAACGGTGTCATCTAACAAACTGACTGGAATAACAGAAACACTGACATGGCGACGTTTCGCCAGTTACATTGCCACGTGTATTTAACTTTAAAAAACAAAAAAAAAAACAAAAATATTACAGAAGAAAAATAAAAATAAATTAAATAAATTCTTTCTCTTTCCCCTCTCTCTTCTCTCGAGGCCCCTCTTCTCCACCAGAACTCATTCCTCCCTCTTCCACGCCCCAACCCGCACTGCCAAGCAAATAGAGCTAAACTCCCCATTTTCCCCACTCAAAGCCCTCGCCATTGTCGGGCAAAACCTTTTGACGCTCACCCAAGTCCAAAGATGTTTGTGAAATTCTCTATCTCTTCATCGAGCTCCTGCTTCCGTCGCTGCCACTATGAGTTGGGATTGGGAAATAGGAGCTCGACGAGAAATTCAATTGGACCTAGGGTATCAGTTTCTCCTCTCTTATAACCTACCGCCGCCGCCGCTTTCTCCACGGAACCCACCCCCAAATGCCCCCGCCACTATCACTATCGAAATTCAAAATCTAGAATCGCAGAAGAAAGTTCCTGCCGGCGACGGTTCAGATTTGCTATTTGATGGGTCTTGCTCCCTGGAGGTTGCTCTGCTATTTGCAGTGACAGGAGTAAGTTGATGGCCTTCGATTGATCGATGCGAGGGAGCACCGACGGGGATCCCTCTCTCCGTCCTTGACGACCACCACAAGCTCGAGCAGATCCACAAGCTCCTGGCTTACGCGTCTAAAGGCGAGAATCACTCCTTCCGGTCGTGAAAATCCCCCGCTGACCCATCCCCTGGAAATTTCAGAACTGAAAAGCAGCTGTTGTGGAATAGCAGCAGGAGAAGAGTGGGATTTTTTTGGGGTAGAGGAGAATTACGGAAGAAGGAATTATGGAAATTTTTGTGGATTTTTTTTTTCTTTTGATTTGTTTTGTTACCACTTACCACCACTAATGTGTGTTGGGAAAGTACAAAAATTAATTTATTTTTTTATTTTTTATTTTTATTTATTAATTTATGACCTTTAATTATTAAATAAATTTAAATTATGATGTGACATTTTTGGCTTATTTGGCAATGACATGTCCGCTGAGTTGGCGCCTAGTCAGCGAACCGTCAAATAAGTTGACGGTGTTAATAACACCGTTAAAGTATTTAACGGAAATGGTTATATTTGTCCCACAACAACTTTAAAAGCTGGCTACAAGTGGTATTTCTCCAAATCTGGCTATTATTGGCACAAACGCGAAAGTTTTGGCCATACAAGTGTATTTTGCCTAAAATTTACCTTTATTATAAACTATATAAATTAATTTTATATTTCTAGGTTTACTGGTTCAATTTGATTATTTTAAGGTTTAGAAACTGATGTACACAATATAAGTAACTTGATGGGTTTACCTGAATAACCTGCAATCTTACCTAACATGACCAGTAACCCGATTAACCCATAACCCGAACAACCTATAATCCAATCAACCCTTAACCACTTGACCCGTAACCCGTAACCTGCTTGACCCATACTCGCATTAACCCGTAACTCGTGCTCGTTTGATGCGTAGCTCAATTAACTCGTAACCTCTTTGACCATAACTCACTTGATCTGACTAATCTGTGACTCAATCTTTTGTCAATCCAACTGGCTCGTAACTCAATTGAACCCAACCCGAACCCTCCCAAACTACTCGAGTGACACCTGTGAGAAGGATAACAAAATTGAAGTGGTCTGATGGATTAACATAAGCCCAATAAAACAAAGTCTAAACTGAAAAATGAAAGAAAAAAAAATCTATAACAACGAAAGGCAAAAGATTGATGAAGTGTCAAGAAATAAGTGGCGGTTACCAAGACAAAATAACCTATGACCTACGTTAGCAAAGCCCTAATGCAACAGTAGTCCCGCTATAACTTTAATAAAATCAGAATAGCTTATCAGACAGTATTAATTAAATCACACTAGAAACAAAGAGAAAAATAGAGAGATTAAATTACAGGTATTTTTTTTTTTAAATCATTGGTAATTCATTAAATGAACCCAGGAAGTGAACAGATTAGGGGCCGAAACCCCTAGGAAAGACCAAACAACAAAAGGGCCCAAACAACATACCACAAAAGGCAAAGGCCCAACAGATGGCCTGAAGAAACCCTAGCAGCCTAATCAAAACTCCAAATGCTCTGTGCAGCTGCCGCCCAGAGTAAGCAAGCCGCACCAAATTAGCAACATCGGAAGCGTTGACAGAGACCATTGAAGG